GAGAGAGAGAGAGAGAGAGAGAGAGAGAACTTACGAGGATATGCAGGGAATCCACCAAAAGCTTTGATCCGTGCCAAAGTCGTTACCCTCCTGCAGAGTTTCGGGCAAATCCTGGTCCAAAGTTTCAGGTAGCGCTAACGTTAAGAATGCATCGAAAAACGACAGGAGACCAAGAACTATTAATGGCAAATATTGATTAACGTCAGCCTAAAAAAAAATAATTGACTTAATTAATCGACCTGGACTTTGTTAATTACGGCATAATGCACAGATAGTATCTCGCGGTATTCTCATAATACTTTACCAGATAAATCACATAAGGCCCGACGATGTGAGCAATGTAGCCAATAATGTGAATTAGAGACACACCTTGCGCCCGCACTACGGTCGGCAACATCTCGGCCGCGTATTGGAAACCGATATTCGCGGCGATATTGACACCGAGGCGCGCCAAAATCGCCATGGTGACGGTTAGTGTACCTGAAATACCGCGGAATACGTAAGTACACATGTTACAAGCTCTATTTGCTGGTCACGTTCGCCCCCCAGTCATTCCGCCTCAATCCTCCGTTTTATACAATTGTACAATTTTGTTCCCTGCCCTTTATTGAAGTACCTTTTGTTTATCATCGTATGTCTTTTATATTTATAATTGAAATCGCTTCTACTTAATATTGGCCGTATATTCCACTGTATAAACCCGATGCCTCAATTTCCAAAGAAAAGAAGAAGCTAGTGATCCACGTTAGTTTGTTATCAAATAAAACTTAGATCGTAGATCACAGAGCGACAGAATCGAAGATCTCATATTTTTGCGTGTTCTCGTTTTATTTTTTATTTCTATTTGCAATCTAAAACAATTTTTTCCACTTCCCGTATATTGTTCTGACGATGAAGACGGATAAACCTGATGACAGGACTAATTAATATCGTAAGATTCGTGAGTGAAAATGTAACTTACCATCGGGAGTGCCAACAGCGATCAAAGAGAATATACCGCATATAAACATAGAAGCGAAACCCATCCATCGTCTGCCCCATCTATCAAGGAAAAGTGCCAGCAGAATCGCCGCCGGAAGCTCGGTCATCGCGGCTATGGAGAATGACATGAACACATCGGGATGCAATAGCTTCATGTTCCAAACATGTCCGTCGAATACCAAGATGATCAACAGCCTGAAAACGATTGTTCGATCAATATAGTCATTTTAAACGAGGGTAAATAGATCGAATTTGATCCTTCCGACGCTCACCAGTAAATAACAAGCATGACAGTGATGCGAGCTAGTCGGGGCAACTTGAAGAGGTGCAGGACCGTGTACTGATTATGCGATTGATCCTTCTCGATTATATTCTTGCAGCTCTTTTCGAATTCCTCGAACACCTCCTGTTTGACTTCCCTGCCGTTGACCTTCGCAAATTTCTTTAACATGCCGATCGCCTTGTCAATGTTACCGCTCATGATGTACCATCTTAGAACAGAATAAAAAATCGTTACATTATACGTATCAGCGTCTACTTATTATATATGTGTGTGTGTGTGTGTGTGTGTGTGTGTGTGTATTTTGCAGCATATACTAATTTTATTTTATAGAAGATAATTTATATTACAAATTCAATATAAGTCAATAAGAATAGACAAGTACCGTGCACTTTCTGGGACAAGCCACGGGCCGAGGAAAGCGACAATCATCGGGAATGCGGTAACGACGCTTAAAATTCTCCAATCTGCGATCCAAAATGCGATCCATGGCAAGAGACCAGCGGCGGCCGCAAAGTAAATCCCAAAGGACATGTTTGCCACCAGAGTTCGATACTTCGGACCGACATATTCAATCACTGCGGTCAAAGTTATTGTTAATAATAATGACTGAAGCATCACAATCATCATTTTTATCATAATGTCAAGTAGAAAATTTTACTTTAGAATTCAAATCGTAAACTTGAAGTATTATACTTTTATAATCAAAGCTATTGATTAATAATAATAAAATACCTATCTTCTCCTTAATAAGCTGCTTGGTTAGGACAGACAATTCATTTAAATCCTTCGTAAATTTTCATTCGATCGCGATAATACGTACCGATAATGAAGAGTACGTTGAAGCAATTGTCGAACGATGAGCCGACAATCAGCCTTGCAACGCAGAAGGACCAGAAACTATTGCAGAAGGCCGTCGCGATGGAAGCGAAGAAACCTACCGCGTTACAAGATACTAACGCTGGGATTCTGCCGTAGTGATCAGCTATGTAGCCGAATATCAGGCCACCGATAATGCTGCCAACGAAAAAGGCTGACTGAGCCGCGGAACCGAGGAAAGTCTTGTCGCAAACCCATTCGAGCTGGCGAAATGATACACATTGTTATTATCGCGAAAAGATTGTTGTTATATAATAATACTGACATCACGATTTATTTATCAGAGGTGGATCCCTTATAGAAATCCAGTTTATAATACTAGCCAATTACTAATGAAAATTATTTGTTTTCAGTATTAACCTTCCTTCCTAAAACTTTTGGTGAGAATTTTACTTTGAATAGTGAAATTTCAATCTTAAAAATTAAAAATTGAACCTTTTTACCCAAAACTTATTCCATTTTCACTTTTTAGAGTGAAATTCCTTTCCAAAGAATTTGAAGAATTAGACACAGATTTTACCGGTCCTTTACTATACACGATAGATCATTTGTGTTACGGTTTAATTTTCATCATTTTAATAAAAATTATTAAGTAATTTTTACATATACTGTAATTAAGTAATTTTTACACATACTGTTTTTGAAAAAAAGAAATGTGTAGGACACAAATGATCTAATCGTGAACACTAAGATTGCTTTTTTAAAAAAGCACTAAACACTAATTTTTTTTAATATTTAAAATAAGTAATTAATTATTATCTTCTAGTATTAAATTTCTGCAAGAGATATATGATATGTCACGATTGAATATACCGAGAAGGAATTTCTATGAATAATTTCTATCAAATGCATCTCTATAGCTTTATAAAATGATAATACTAAGACTGAATTTTATTGGATAGCAAATAGTGTTAATTATTATCGATATACAAGCAAAGATACATACTCTATATTAGTGGAAAATACTGATGAACTATTCGCTGACGTCCTCGATATGCTAATTTTTGATTTTTACCTCAGACATTACACAACATCAAAAAATACCGGTGTGTGAACGGTATTTTCGATGCCGGTTTCTCTTTCGCTTCGTATAAAAAGATTATAATAAGGCTGCGCGCTTGGCAAAAAGAAAAAGGAGATTTAAAAAATGCGAAAAAGTGCTAAACCAGTTGACGTTTCGCTAAACGCATCAGTCGACAAATTTATTAATCAATTATAGCTATGGCGACAGTGATTTATGGCGAGTAATAATGCAGTGTTTTAGATACCTCGGTGGCGATCGAGGCGTACGGTATCATCGTGTGGTTGAAAGTCCATCCTTGCTTGCACCGGACTATCGGCCACGACAGATTGGCTTGTCTGACACCTTGCTCGAGCAGCTCTGTGTAATTTACGTCGTACATGTAGCATCTCGAGAACGACGTGGCGCTCTCCAGCTTCAATTCCTCACTGGTAGCTGGGGGTATCCCTATCGTGATCCTGTCGCAATCCAGACGTGAACAAATTTATTAGAAAAACAATAAACCTGTATATATGATGCGCCTCTAACACGTCGTTTGTACGAGGTAGCTTGGTCCAAGAAGTAAAAGTAAGAAATTGACCAATCACAGTCAAATGTGAGAAGAATGCTCGACTGCATGTAATTGATCAATTTGTCAGACCGTTACTCAGAGTGCAGTTCTTATATTCAAGCCTTAAGTTCAGTCTTAAGTTTAGTCTTGAGGTGTCACGAACCAGTTAGAAGACCGCATTAGCGTCTTAAGATATACTTGAGACGATCTTGAAAGAAAACAGACTATAATGAATACCAGCTTTACTCTTATTTCTTACACGAAGCTTACTCCGGATATTGTAGACGACGCATAATACCATCTAATTTCTGAGAGCACATATGATAAATGGCTGCGATAAAAAAAGAACCGAGTGACGTGCGTCAAATAAATAGCAAATTCATTATAATCTACGACCAGCGTTATACGTGCGAATTTATATGCTAACGCGATAGGAGATAGGTTCTTCGATATTGCCTTTAGGGACGTGCCATTTTTGCCCGAGAAATGCGACTACACGTTCTATACGTCCCATAAATCTCACGGATGATATAAAATGACAATTTTATTTCTAAGAGGTACGCACAAGTTTCTGCTATTCACCGGAGTGTTAGACCTATCAGACATATATCTCCTCTTATTTTCACTGGGGGTCTCATAATCTCAAGTCATATCGCGGTTGATTTTAATAACGCTTTGCGTTTCCCAAAGAACTCGCTGCGGTCTCGAAGGAAGGAAGTAAGGAAGGAAGAAAGAGAGGAAGGATGAAAAATATCTACGTTCCCAGGCAGCTTTTCAACCGAAAGAAGATCCTCCCATCTCTTTCCCGCTTTCTCTTCTCTCTGTTTCTCTCGTGAAATTCCCGAGGAATCCCTTCGAGGTCGACAACCAAACAGGTTTTCTGTAACTTCGAATACGGAGAAACTACTGATCAAGTGATTTGAATCACGTACAATTGCAACGACGGATTTTCCCGTGACAGTCATGCAGTCTGATATACAATTACATATTTACGTATGACACATTTTGTGCTAGAAACAATATTGGATATAATTAGATTATTCCGAAATGTTTGGAAGTCTAAGAAAATTGTATTTTAACGAAAAATATGTTTATCAGAGTTCGGAAATTTTTTAAACAAATGATTTTAATTCATCCACATCTATATGTTACAATTTTTGTTGACAATTTTCGTCAGAATTTATGTCTCATTTAAGAAAGAAAGAAAAAAAAGATGCACAATTATGCTAGCTATTCTATTTATTCTGTAAAATTCTATTTGTTCTGCGTTTACGGAGGAAAGCTTACAAGAAGTATAATATAATTAGGCGTAATCATATTTCTTATTTCAGAAAAACGGTTTTTTTTTATGGAACACAAGGACGGAATTATTCGAATGTAAATTAAGTCCTGTTTAACGCAAATGAAGAGATCTGTTTCTTTGTCGTTGTTTCGTCATTTATTTCTAAGTAGCGCAATTACGAATTCAAACTTTATTAATAATATTTTTAATAATTTAAATTTAATTTATTATAAATATTTAATGCGATTTATAAAACAGTATGTATTTAATTTCGTAGAAGCCCAACAGAAAAGTCATTAAAAGTCATTTAGTTTTCTTTTCGAGCAAAATATAAATTAAAATAGAAAACCCTTTAATTGTGAATTGTTTAGAAACTTTTTATTGTATTGTATGTATATGGATAATAAGATTTTATCATGAAAAATAGACATATACAATCTGTATTTAACAGTTTACATATTTTCTGTAATGTTTTATCAATTTATACTGCTGTATATATACCATATATATATTTTAGATTAAATAATTAAATTGCGATATAAGAAGAGGCTTCGAAATATTTTCAGATAATACTTTCCTAAAACAAAGTTAATTTATGTAAAATTTTGAATTTTCAATCGTTAATAATTGAAATATTTTCAATATCGTTTTTATAAAAATGACGAAACAAAATCTAAAAATTTTGAGCATACTATATGCAAACTGTACATATACAAAAAATCTAACACGCAAGGGTGAATCTATATATAAGTCAAGCCGACCGTGGCCCAAGGTCTTGGTCAGCTCGGACCGACCGGACTTGAACTGTCGTTATGAAATGAGGATGAAAAGAATTTCACAATCTTCCACTTTTTATTTCTTATTATTGCAAAATTACCTCGTGCATTGGTAATTTTGGAAATCTTGTGTCATTCAATCCCGCTTGTACAAAGAAATATCTTAGAGATCCACACAAGTATTAATTATGTAAACATCTAAATATTCCAACTTTATTTATTCACGATTATTTAACCGTCAGTCAATTTGGACTTTGAACGCACAGTTGACGTTTCGACTATAAATTCTAGTAAATGAATTTCTTTTTAAATCTGTAATAAATAAATAAAATGCAATCTCTAATTCTACAACAATAAAAACTCGTTAAAGCTTTCACAAGAATTGTTTTCAGATTTTTATGCAGTCTGGAATAATATAAAAACTCGTACTGAAACTTATAAAAGCTCACGTTGTTAACAGAAGACGCAACATTCTTCAGGTTTATTCGTTACTTTGATTTTCAAGTGTGTATATAAATGCAAAAAGTATCGAGAGTATTGAGAGGTGTGAGAGTATTGCATCTCTCCTTGTTAAACTTACTTCTCAAGATCCGTGAAATTGTAATGATCCAACTCCGGTATCGTGCACCAATGCTCGGCAGGCACCAGAGTGAGGAAGAATTGCGCGAAGTATAAAAAGGCGTACACGAAGGTGAATGGTAGGAGCAGGATAAACAGGAACCACTGGTATCTGCTCGCCTCGCCGACGTACGGTAGGATATCGTCGAAGGTCTCGATCTTCGGAGGACCGTTGCCCTCCTCGACTTTCGTGGACTCGACCATGACCGTCATCGTCGTAGTGTCTGGAAAGAGGCGACAGTGAGACTCCCTTAGAGTTTATTGCAATTTACGGTGAAGAAAGGTCGCCGAGTATCGCCGGTGGACGTGAGATCCCGTTTGCTGGAACGTGAGATAGAGCGGGAATAAAGAATGAAATGCATAATGCGATAATGAGGTGAGATACCTCGGTATCATTATGCTGCTAATGAGTCGAGCAGATTTGCGTTTGTATGTAATGACGAGCGCACGGAAAAGAAAACTAATAGGAATAAACAAAAGACCATTATTATGACATAACGAACGCTGCGACGCGTATGTAATTAGAGCTCTATTCTTGAAAAGAAGTAAAAAAAAAAGTAGAGAAAGACTGTAGATAGCATACATTACTATAGTATTACCCTAGTTTTTCATATACGTTTCTTTTCAAGAATAGGAACCCTGGTCTTTGTCATTAATTACAACGTTTTACGTAAAATACTAAATGATAAAATGGACCGTTGAAGTTGTAAATTATTTCGAAAGAGAGGATTTTCTGACTGTCGAGTTGGAACAGACTGAACAGACGTAGCAGTTCGACGAACATCTAGTATAGAGATCACGTGTGCGTAAGGTCACATAAAATAATAGATCTTTCTTTTCAGCTGAATTTCTTACACGGTTTATCTTTCCTGTTTTTCTCTCCATGCTGGAAAAAAAAAGAGAGAAACATAAACTGTGCAAAAAATAAAAGCTAGCTGAAAGTCAGCTAAAAAGTTCATACGTCGATATAAATATAATACTGGATGAATATTAATCGTTAGTAGATACACAATTATACACGATTATGTGCCGGGTTAATTTTCATTATCTTGTGTAACTATACAAGAATTATTAAACAAAATAAAAAAGAATCTCGACATGTAAGAGCGCGCCGGTGAATTATCTGCAAAAGTGTTTTCTTGTGATCAATTCTTTTATGACTATTTGATAATTCTTTTATTTATACCTATTCTATTATCATTTTAAAATCATGACTTGTTAAGTTCAATTAAAATTTAATTATTGTGATTTATATGCGACTGTGTGTGTGTGAAGGTATAAAACCCAAACTAATTTCGCTCATTGTATTGTATTAGATATATTCAATTTTATTTAATTTTTTAGAAATTAATTAACTCTTCTCGTCTTTGATCATTATTGGACCTTTTCATAGTTATTATTATATTTGTGATGTTATTAAATAATTTTTACATATATTTTAACATTTTTTAAAAATATATATTATAAAGTGGTGTATTTTAAAAAATTATATATAAATATTATAATTACGTAATTACTTCATGCGTCTAATTTTTTAAAGAAAAGAAATATATAAGATATTCATTAATGACTCAAAATAGACAAATATCAATGAATATTTTTTCTAGTATTCGCTTTTGTTCTCGTTCACACCTGTAATTTTTATTCTCTATGTCGTTTATGCTTGCAAAAATCGTAGGTTCAATCGACACTTTATTTCTTAGTCACTTCTTATTTTCTTTAAGAGTCGGAATCGACGTTTTAAAAGCGACAAGCGCGTACGATTTGAGACTCGTTCGTAATTCTGTCTAATGTTTTCTTTGAAAGTATTCGAAAAAATATGCGGCTTTATGTAAACTTACGAATATAAATAATTCCGCAACGCGCTACACACTCGTCACTCGTATCAAATGAGGAACAAAAGCGCTGTTGTTATGAAAATTTATAAGATATCAAACCAATTTGTTGTATGAAAGATTTGAATGCCGCAGTACAGAAGCAATTACAAAATGCAATTATATATCGCCCTCGACGAGATACGTAACGAGAAACAGGCCAGTAAGTCATCAGCACTAATAATGCGATCAGATATTCATAAAGCGCGATATGTATCTGGAGACACGGTATATTTACGGGAATTTACGGGGATTGCTTTTAATAGAAATTGAGTAAGGAATAATCAAACAAAAAGAAAAGAACATAATATCGAGAAATATCATAAAAATAATGCAATCTTGTTAATTAATGAAATTTCATTTTCAAATTTCTCCAACATAAAGGAAGGCGGAGATTACCTCTCCTAAAATATTGTGTTAGAAAAACTATTTTGCGATGTAATAAAAATAATTCTACATCTTTTCATATTTTTGAAAAGCCCACAACAGTAAAAAAATTTGAGCTGGACGGAGAGAATAAAAATATGACAACAAACGGAAGATTAATAATTCATTTCTTCCGTTAATTTATTCGAGTTTATCATAATTATAGTCTTATTGCACTTATCAATTTGTAATATTTTGCTTCGTTAATTCAGCTTATAATTTCATTAATATTCTCTTCACCTGCTTTGTCCGTTCAATCAATACTTGCCTCGTTTCGGGTGATTTATCAACCGTAACATATTTTCTTATAACGGAAATAGGAAATTTCGTGTGTCAATGTAAATATGAATGACTGACACTTTACATGAATAAAAGAATATGTAATAAATAACATGATGTAAAATTCAAAAAGTAATTTAAAAACACATTTAAAAAATAAACACAACGTGTTAGTTATTACCTAAAGTATTGGATTTGTAAAATTTTTCATTATATTCTTGATTTAAGGTTTTATTGCAATATTCAATTTCATTCAATATTTGTGAAGAAAATTAAAAGAAAAGCCTTTCTTATAAAAGAAAATTTTCCAACATTCTTCATTTCAAGATTATTCCACATTGTGTAAAAAAAAGAAAGAAAAAAGGCATCTGACGATTAGTATTATCTAAAACAGAAATGAACAATTCTTACCTGTTGATCCTTCAAGCGTAGTGAGCAATGTAAAAAAATCACAATAAGTCCGTACACAGAAGATAAATTAATAATAATCCACAAGACAGAGATTCACTTTATAGACGCTGATTTATGAAGTAAAGAGAGGCGGTAGAAATATATTTCAAGCATGAGAGATATATATATATATATGTATGTATTCCGGTAGGTTGCCTCGCGAGATCGATCGTGAGATCGCACGAAAAAAAAATCTCCCGTCAAAGGTATCACGATTTTCCCGATAATTCGGCGCCGATCGAATTTCACGCACTACATCATCGTTTCGAGAAGCGCGCGGACTGTCGGCGGCGCAACCGATTGGTGGGGCTTTATAGCCTTCCACTACAGATGCAGAAAACCACGCGCTTCCCCACCTTGATGGGACCGGCAGCGACCGGTAGACGCAGACGCCCGCGCCCGGCGCGACGACGACGCCGGGTGGATAGGATAAACGCGACCTGTTGTCGGCGTGACCGATGTCGCAACGGATCGCTGTCTGTGACGTCAGCGGGGAACACACGAGGAATGGGGATTTCACAATTTTTTTGCAGCTACCCGCCTTCTCGTACGCACGAGCGGCGATTTTCCCGATCGCGCACGCACTCTTTCCGCGTACGTCATCGCTTTCCTCCGCGTGATATCGCGACATTTTACGTAAGATTCGCGCGCAGGTATAAGTGCGACAACGCGAAGAATTTATGGAAAAAAATGTGAATACGTCAAATGTGAATATGTCTGGAAAAAATCCCAGCGACATCGAGTCTTGCCTAAAAGATTAAGATACACTTGTATTTTCAAATAAAATAACTGAGGTGCGATTTTCTCCGGTGAGAATATCGCATACCTCTGCTGCCCGTTTCCACTGATTAGATTAACTTTAATTTCTGTTCAACTGTTATTTTTTCTAATTTTAAAACCTAGAAAAAGGGAAGAGTAAGTTGAACCGAGCTCAAAGTTGATCTAAATTAGTGGAAATAGGGATAAAACTTTTAGAGTGTCTCACTTTGAACAGTAAAATCTTATCCTTAAATCATGATTACACTACATAGGTTGCCAGTTATTATCGATTTTTTTTTGGCTAATCACAGTGAATGAAGATTAGCTGTAACGTAATTGGCTAAAATATAACCTTCAACCGGCAACCATAATCGGCAATCAGAGACTGGTGTTCATAATCGATTCTTATATTTAAGATTGTCTTAAATAAATATCTCTTAAGATGTCATGAACCAATAAGAGAGCCGCAATAGCATCTTAAGACATTACTTAAATTGGTTTTAAAGCAAGAACGAACTATGAGTATATCGGTCACAGAGCAGTATTGATATCGTAAAATGTTATTTAAGATGATCTTATTAAAATAAGAACGGAATATGAACAATGGCCTTAAAATTGAAAATTGAATCACTCTTTTTCAAGACTGATTTTTGGCAATTTTCACTTTTAAGGTAGGATTGCATTCCAAAGAATTTAGAGAGTAGGTAAAGAGCCTTAGAAAGATCCAAGCGATATCAAATCCCCGATCGCTAGTACCATTAAGATATAATATATTTTTAGATAAAATATATCTACGTTGAGAGATTTATGTCTTCTACGGCAAGTAGATTAGTTACAAGAAATAGAACCAAGGAAAAACCTCACCAAGAATAGACTCCGCATATAAGGGGTGAGGTCTGAAATGTTGCTATGCCTAATCAGGAATACCTTCAGGGTCTATGGAAGGTTGAAGAGAGTTTTAAACTGGTAGACGATACACATGTGGTTATCTCTCACGTGATGCACGTGTTATCGAATCCGGAATTTCTTCGAGATACTTATACGTTGATCTGTGGCTTTAGAAGATTTTTCACTCCCTCCGCAAAAAGAGTATCGATCTCGAAGGAAGTAACCAAATACGAGTAGAATCTTAAACCTTTTATTTATTACAATAATATTTTGCAATTTGGTCTTTTCTTTCTTATTAAAATTCTTATAATTATGTTAAATCTGAAAGAATCTAAATCAGACAATTCAAGAATCAGTCCTATTGACACGTCAACCTTATTAACTTTTCAGAGTTGATGATAAGTTCATTGAACCTACTTAATTATAAATCTCGGTATCAAAATGTCAAGCAATTCAGTTGTTTTATGTTTATTTTCTTCATCTTTATTTATATCTACAAATTTGGATTAATCTTATTAAAATATGTTTAGTATTTATTCTTTTTTACACGAATTATATTGAGTCCTTAAAAAATTAATTATCTTCTTTTAATTAACATATATTTAATAGATCTTATACAGTTAGACTCAGTGTCAGTTCCGGATTATTAAGTTAAAGGCGATAACAAGATTATGTGCTTTCCAGATAGATTAGTACGTTATTAGTAATGCTACATAACGAAGTTATTATTACCCTAATGATTTAATGAGAATGTAATTATTCGCAATATTAATGTTGGAAAAAGTTTTAAAGTGTTCTTGTTTAATTGAGGTTTCTAATTTCAGTAAATATCAGAAAATTATGCACACAAATTGGGGGATCATTGATGTTAATTATTTTCATCTATTTTTTATGAATATCAACCAATTGAATACAACACTTTTATTCAAAGATTTATATATTTTTCGTTTAAATAACCGTATAAAAAGTTATCCGCGCATCGAGTGATTTAATCTCAAAGATTTATAACACTTGTTTAATCACAATATTCAATTAAATAATAATGTAAGTAGAAGAATGTTTCCGTCTAGGCGCCTTTTTTAAAATTATTTCTTAAATAATTAAAGTCTTGCAATAAATGCTATTTGGCAATAAATAACAATAAGGAAATAAACGAGATTAATATCAATTAGACTTAATTACAATTAGAGAAACGTGTGTCATTAATCTCTTTGTATAAGACGAAAAGGAAAAACGCATTTAAAAAGAATTTACATGAATCATGAGGAAACTTATTTATAAAACAAACCGAAATAATAAATCTTAATTCGATTATATTATCATTCATTACGTGCGTATATTAGGTATTTTCAGAGAGATTTATATTGCAGAAATTTGCAAATGATGACATCTAAACAGAAAAAATTTGCATCGTATAAGCAAATACGCGACGGCCGTGGTATTGACGAATGATGTAGTGAATACGAATATTTGTCTGGGGGTGTATTTTTAAAGAATGACAATCCGGGAATTACGTAAAATTCTTTGAATAATACATCACAATGTGTCTACTTTAAACTCTTGATAATATTACAACGATAATGATAAGCTCTCCTTTCTATAATAAATGCCCTCTTTCTTGTCTCGCGAAGAGATTAGTGACGCATGCTCCTTTAATTGTAATTGATACTTAACTCGTTAATTTCTGCTTCCGTTTTACTAGTTTTAAACGCTCGGGATTTCCCTCAAGAAAAAATCTCATTTTTTAATAAGTGTGAAGACTTCCTAAGCTTTGCGACGAATACCGGATGGAACATTGTTCGCGAATAAAACGATTACGATGACAAAAGGAGGGAATTGCTTGGTTCAAAAATCGTGAATTCGAATTGTTTCAATTGATGAATAGAACGACGATCGAACATCCGACAGAAGATGAGTAAGCTGTGTATACGATGCATCGATAAAACACATCAATCACGCGGAGGTGCCTCAACTTCCGGCGACGATGCGTCGTGCGTTCGCTCTCGGAACGCACCAGACGCTAAGATGACGACCTTGATCGGTGGCACTTGCACAGGGAAAACCCAAGCTAACCAGAATAGAACGCCGGCTCGGGCGAAATACCGAAGTGGAGATGCCGAGAAAGACGTCGAAAGGTAAGGTCGGACGGAATGAAACCGGTTGACGAACGAGCGACGACGGTGGAAGAGCGGCTCTATGGTGTCGAGGAAGGAATGCCCGAGGATCTCGTCGCCTCGCGGGAGGAAAACGCGCGAGTTCTTCTTACTTGTGTACGCACAAGAAAAATTCGAGGAATGGCAGAGAATATTCGCACGATGTGTGACGTCACGGAGATCTTGGTTTTTTTTTTCTTTTTTCCTAAATGTCATCGCGCACGCACATCTCCCGATGCTTCTCGCATGGTTTGTTTCATCGTTACGTAGAACCCTTAATCACGTCAATCGACGACGCCTTCGGTGATATACTCCAAAACAATAACAAATATTTTTAAGTTTTTTTAATCTCTTCTAGAATTATCGATGGATTTATTAGACTCGCTGAATTATAAATTTCTTTGCCAAAAATGTCAAACGATTCATTCATTTTTTTTTTAATTTTAATATCTTTAAATTTGAATTATCCTTATTAAAATATACTTATTGATAGTCATAGTATTCATTCTTTTTATACAAGTTGTGTCATTTTGGTTTCTTTAAATTAATTAATGCTTTATTATTAACATAATTTAAATGAGTTTTACAGACACAACGTCAGTAACCGTGTTACAGATTTTGACGTCAGTTGCGAAGAGTTAAATTAAACTCTTGTTAATAACGTAACTTCCTAGCATCCACATACATTAATGTCTCAAAGATTTCATTATGAAATTTGAAATACTTTTAATTTCGCATCTCCTCTCTTGTCTTAGTCGCACTTTGCTATAAAGTTAAAACAACATAGAAACTCACAGTGAAAAGTACTTTGTATTTGTGTTGAAAACGGTTTACTCAAGTTCTTGTTTTTGTGTCAAATTGTTAATATAATTTATCCGAGTGTTGATTTAACGTAATGTGATTATTTCACTATTTTGTGTTAAATTTATATTCAACAATTTCGTAATGTTGAATATCAATTTATAATTAAGTGAACAAATAACATAAAAATAGAATTTGTTGAAACAAAAATTTTTAAATAAGTAAATAAAATTTCTTAGTCTTAATTTATTATAAATGTTTAATTTATCAAAATATGTTAATTTAATTGAGGATATTATAAATGTTAATTTTTTAACGAACAAATATGATTGCTTACTGTGTCATTGTTTTATTTTCTGTATTTTAATATCATATTTGTATTATTTTCTAAAATATTCATCTTGTATTAAATTAACACAACAATTTTTTAGTGGACATGTTTGAGACATGTGAAATACGTTAAA